TGCTTATGTGGTGCTGAGGAATCAAACCCAGGGCCTCATGCATGCAAGGCAAGCACTCTACCACTGAGCCACCTTCCCAGCCCTCCTCTCTCACGTTTAAAGGCTGTCTGGGTAATAGGATTTTCTCAAGAAAAAGAAAATTCTGTACCTAAAAAAATTCTTGACATAATAAAAATTTTGTGAATTTCCTAGAAATTCATGTACATAGAAACACATGTAGTTTTGCAGTGTTAATACACTAGCATCAATATTCTGTCCATTTTTCCAACTCCAAGAATACCAAAGACAACAGATATATAGATGTTGTAGGGAGGTGCTTTAAGAGAAAAACTTAAGAGATAGCTGTCATTACCATAAGTGATGGATTTGACAAAAAACATTCTTACTTGACAAGTGAAAACAAATTTCTTTAGATAGATATAAATGATAGTCATGAAGTTAATGAATTCATTCATTAAAAATTAATGATTCTTTCATTTGTACAAGTTTAGTGCTGTGCTAAGCGAGGGAATGAATAAACAGTTCTTTCCTTAACGAGGTTGTAAGGACGTAATGAAATCAGTATCAGATTTTGAATGTGAAATGAGGATCAAATTCCACTGCATCATTATAAAAACACACAAAATATACTCTTGTTATACACATACATACACACAGACACACATACACACCACAAACAGACACAAAGGAAGAAGAAGATGTTAGAAAATAAAGAATTGGAGGACAGGAAGAAGAGGAGATAATCTAACATTTCCTCTATCAAGAAATGTAGCTTTTCCTAAGGTGATATAACTCACCTTGAAGACCAAAACACATAGGTTCCAAAGGCTTTTTGTGCATTGTCAATATTACTTACAAAAGGTTTATTATAAATGGTAAAAAGAAATTATAATTTTGGGGTGTGTATGTGTGTGTTTGAAATGTTTATTGTTTTGACTATGATGGCTTCATGAGTAGACACATATGTCTGCATTCATGCAATTATATATTTCAAGTATATGAATTATGTTCATGAGCTAGCTATATCCATAGCTCAATAAATCATAAGAGCAAAAATAATTTTACTGCATCATGATGAAATTCTAGCAAGTATTCTAAAACATGGGAACTTTGTACATGAATTTTATATGACTTCATTTAATTTTCTCGTGTGTGTGTGTGTGTGTGTGTGTGTGTGTGTGTGTGTGTATACTGGATTTTGAATTCAGGCCCTCCTGTTAGCTGCTCCGATGCTCTACTATTGAACATTACTCCAATCCAGTACTCAGGTATGTATTTAACAAAACAGGTATGGGATATGAAGGCTGAATGTACAAAACGGTGATGAAAATATTCAAAGAAGATCCAAACAGATATAAAGCCAAAGCATTCATGGATTGGAAGACTTAAAATAAAAAGGATGTCAATTCTCCCCTAAATTATCTCTCAGCCTAATGCTATGCTTGTCAAAATCTCAGTAAGGTTTATTATAGACATATACATACTTATTGCTAAATTTATATGGGAAGGCAGAGACTAGTGAAACTAAAGTAATCTTGAAGAAACACGGGGGAGGGGAATTGCTCTCCCTATTATTAGGGCTTACCAGGAGCTGGAGTAATAAAAATGTCTCCTGGTAATCAGACCCTGTTTCTGCTAATAGTACCAGTTTGTATAATGAGAGCGTGGTTTAGTATTCTCAGAGTATAGTAAAAGGAAATAAGTACAGAATAGCATAATCAGGACACTCATTTCCACACAATCCACCTTATATGTTCTTCATTCCCTAGTTTTACTTGCACTCATTGCAGTGTTTGTGGACATGAAGTTCTGCACAGATTTATAACATGCGTGCTCATACATCTGCCTTCACAGCAAGATCCTGTAGAGTTCACAGCCAAAGAGTTCTCTTATGTTGCCTTTAGTTCTCTACCCACCTTCTGCCTTCACTACCCACTCTATCCTTCCCCTCTTGGCAATACCAGATCTAAAACTTGGTCATTTCCAAATATACAAATGGAATCCTATAACCGGTTTTTTTGTTTGTTTGTTTGTTCTTTGTTTTTGGTCAATCATGGGACTTGGACTTGGGGCCTGGGTATTGTCCCTGAACTCTTGTGCTCAAGACTAGTATTCTACCACTTTGAGCCACAGCTCCACTTTTGGTTTTCTGGTGGTTAATTGGAGATTAGAGTCTCAGGAGTTTCCTAACTGGTCTCGCTTTGAATTTCAATCCTCATATCTCAGCCTCCTGAGTAGTTAGAATTACAGGCGTGAGCCACTAATGGCTCCTAGAACCTTTTTAAGCTCAGTATAATTCCCTGGAGATTCATTTATATTGTAAAATCAATAGCTTGCTAGTTTCTGTTTAGTTGGTTTTTTTCCCCCTCAGACGTGGGGCCTGAACTCTGAGTCTGGGCACTGTCCCTCAGATCTTCAGCTCAAGGCTAGTGCTCTACCACTTGAACCACAGCGCCACTTCCAGCCTTTTCTACTTATGTGGTGCTGAGGAATCAAACCCAGGGCCTCATGCATGCAAGGCAAGCACTCTACCACTGAGCCGTCTTCCCAGCCCTAGCTTGCTAGCTTTTGTGATATGGATATCTTAAAATTTATCAAACAAGTCACCTATTAAAGGGTATCTGGGACCATTTCAGTTGGGTGCTATTTAAATAAAGTCTTTATGGCCATTCATGCATGGATTTTAGTATGAAACTAAATGTTTAATTATCTGGCACAAATGCTCATGAATGCACCTACTAGTTCATCTGGTACTCACATGTTTTTGAAAGAAATTACTAAATGTTTGCCAGAGTGGTATACCATTTTACATTTGTATTCCCATTCAGACCATGGTCTGAAACTATCCTGGAGAAAATTAATACAAGACTATCTGGCAAATGCTAAAAGCAAAAAAACTGGGTGCATGGCTCAAGTAACAAAGTGCTTGCCTAGCAAGCATAAGGCCCTGAGTTCAATCTCCAGAACCATGAAGGAGAAGAAGGAAGAGAAGGAGAAGGAAAAGGAAGAGGGGGTAGAAAAGAGAAAGAAGATGAGGAGGAAGAAGAGGAGAAAAAGGAAAAGAGCTGAAATAAAAGTTTTAAGTTGCTTACAATTCTTACTTGCCTTATATTTAAGTATATAATGTTAATACAAGGTGCCACAACAGATAATATGAGACATGACATTGTGTTATGGAAACATCCAGGAAGAGACCTGGAATGATAGCTCTTGATTCTTCCTCATTTTAGATTGAATTTCTCCATATTTCCTCTTCCTTCCTGCTACTTGGACAGTTTCCTTATTCCAAGGCCATGAGTCATTTCCATCCCAGTTCCACTTTAACTTCTCTTATTTTCAGTTAATGTTTTGATTTCTGCTAATCAAGTTTTCTTTTCTCTTGAGTTTCCAGCATTCCCACCTGGAACTTTCTCAACTTGTCTTTCTGATGGATTTATCCTAATTTAGGTCTCAGCTTGATTTAGATGAAATTCAATTTGCTTAGGAAAATGAAGTAAGCAAAGCTGCTGGGTAATTCCCTCTGAAGGACTTGTTGACTTTTAGACTTAACACTTTTTCATCTTCCCGTGACTTCTTTTGGCACAAGAACCTTTCCAACTAACTTCCTGTTCCCGTGAAGGCTTCTCTGCTTCCCATAACCAAAGACACTCTGCATATCTTTCAAGGTTCTTATCATATGTGACCAAGATTAGATCATCTTCTGTCTTAATACACCTTTGAGATGGTAAAGTCTCAGGGAAGTTTCATAAATTATTCATATCCTAAAGTGCTGGGCACACAGAATGGTTATAGAATGAATCAGATTCTAATGTGCCATTACCATCCATTTTTGCAGATCTTTAAGATCACCACATGTTTTGTCCAAAACCCTTCCTATTACATTTTAGAAGATGGTACGCACTAAATGAGCAGCTGAGACCTAACAGTGAACTTATAAACCAACAGAACATAGTGCTGAAAGAATCTACTCCCAGAATGAAAGAACTACCATTAGTCTGTGTGCACTCTTCTGCCAGACTCAAACTCAACTGCTGGGCTCAGCAAGGGGTAGTGTTCTCTCACATTTAAACCCACTTAAATGGCATATATCAGATTCTGATGGAGTCCAGATCCAAAATCTGAGTGGAAAGGCTGCAGTGAAGATGCCACTCTACTATCTAGCATCGTTTATTCATGAATATGGAGTGTCTACTGGCATCTCCCCATTTTCCCATGTGAAACATGGAGGTTGCTGTGTGTTAGGACACTGGAATAGTGAGATTGCAAGGGGGAACCAAAATATGTTTGAAACTCAGCCTCAGCCTCCCCAACCACCTCAAGCCAGCACACAATTACAGCAAGCTCAAATGCTGCCAGGAGAAATGTTGTCTTCCTCTATGCATTTCTCCTTTCCCCTAAAGCCCGGTGTGTGTGTGTGTGTGTGTGTGTGTGTGTGTGTGTGTGTGTGTGTGTGTACGTTTAAGAAGTCACTTCTCAGTGACTATTTGTGGGTGTTTTTTTTTAATCTTCAGATGTTAGAAATTAAAATCTTGGCTCTCAAAGACATACGAAAACACCATGCGTGTGGTTTTGTGTCGTTTTTAGCTTTTTTCCCCCTGGAGCTCAAGAATAAAAAGCAAATGGAAAGAAACACTAGTAGGACAGAGGTAAACTAGTTGTAAGAGAAGGCAAGAAGGCTCAGATAATCGGCACGTTGTTCGATGGGGTGTGCCCACTGGCACAGGACCTCACAGGGAGAGGCTGGACACTCAGGATGTTTACGCGTAAAAGCAGAAGGTGGAAAAAGTAGAACACACAAGGCTCAGTGTCCTGAAAGCCTGGCACCGAAGCAGCCCACAAATAATTACCACTGCGGAGCTGTTCTGTTCCACCGTGTCCTCGTTAAAACAGATAAATACTAAGCTAACAGTGACCAACAACACAGCCAGTCTAAATAAACAAAGTAGCCATGTAGGACCACTTATGTATATAAGCAATATATGCAACTTTGTTTCCCAAACATGGGAGCCGTGAGGTATAGGGAGAATCTTGATTGAAAGAGGTCCTCCCCCCAAATGCTAATCCCTGCCATTCCTGGTGCTGGCATCCCAAGGCAAAAAGTAAGAATAAATTCATTTTTAATAAAAGAAGAAAACTTCCTGAGGGAGATGCCCACAAACTTGTTTGACTTCACCTCCATCCTTGCCAGAGAAACCAAGACTGAACTTGCTGGGGAACCGTGAACAGGACTTGGCCAGCACCAGCGCGCTCAGAGGTAGAGCCCCTCAGAGGGCAGGAGTTGGGGTTTGGAGCTGGAAGTCGGGGAGAAGACCCAAGAACTAAAGCCCAGGAAATGACTTGCCAAAGGTCAACGTCAGTGGCGTGAATCTCCTCCCGACTTTGAGCACGTCCCAATTTGCAGCAGCAAAGCAGTGGACTCGGGCTAGGAGAAGGTGAAGGGAGTGACCAGCCAGAGAAGGTGAAGGGAGTGACCAGACGGGTCACCTCCAGAGTCGCCGAGCGCGCAGGGCCAGCGCCAGGACGCCCTGAGCCTGCGGTGCTCGGATCCCCGCGTCCTCCCTTCCCCAACCTGCGCGCGATGGGGGCGCGCTCACCCAGCCAGAAGTGCAAGCGGTAGAAGAAGCCTCGGCTCGCCCGGACGGTGTGCAACACCAGGTAGGCGTCCCCAACGTAGAAGTCGCCGTAGGCACTGTCGGGCACCGGCACCAGCTCCAGCTTCTCGATCCTCCACACCTGCAGCCCAGCCTGCTTGCCCGCTCGGGCGAACTCCTGATGGTACAGTTTCTGGGCCATGGTGCCCGCTCGCCACACGACGACCAGAGAGAGAGAGAGAGTGGGGCTAGATGCTCAAGAGTCTGACCAAACCCTGGCTCATAGGAGGGACCCTGTTGGTCCGAGATTTTATAGGGTTCTCCTTAAGCAGAGGCGGGGCCTGGAATCGGGAGGGGCTCTGTGCTCGGGCGGGACGCGCAGGAGCGAAGCACTCGCTGCCACGCCCGTCACCTCGGGCCAGAAAGGCGCCCGCGTCCCCCAAGTCTTGAGATTTTTAGAGAGGACTTGTGGACACCCGTGGAAATGCCTCCTAAAACCAAACAAAAAAAAAAGTCACTTTGGCAACAGATGCAAAAGACCGCTGTGTAAACCTGCTTGGCACACCCTGGTGCACACACACCCCCGCCCGCTTGCCCAGGTTTCCCCGGCCCCTGCTAAAGCTGTTATTTCTGGGTTCTCAGGGTGCCTGATCCTAGAGGGCAACCGCCTTGATCTAGCGCTGTCGTAGAAAGGCATACCTGTGTTTTCTGGAATAATCCTTTCTGAGATCAAGACCAACCTTACTGAACCCTGTGCCGTAATCATGATTGTATGCTCCCATGCCCAGGAGAATTTTTACTTCATCTGTGTTGAAAATGTCTTACCCAACTTTTCCAGATGGCCTAAGTTTCTCTTCTTCTGGGTCTTCCCAGGTTGAAAACATCATGTAAAACAAGATGAAACCTGAAAGACCTAGCATGCCCGACCCAGGGGACAGAGCTTCTGCAAATCCCCTGGCCATCCAGAGCCTGGGTTAGATCCTCCCACCACCTGCCTCCTCCAGCCACGAAAGTCAGGGAGAAATCTGTAGAAAGCCTCCTGCGATGCTCTCGCATAGGTTTCTTTGTGGCTTCTTGACCTGCTTCTTGTGCTTCTTGACCTGCCTTTTGATGTACCTGCTCTCTGGCTGCAAGATATTAGTTTTTAATTGTTTTACCTGCAGTTTTCGCTTTGGCAGTAGCGGTAAAGCACGATAGAATGCAGATGAAAAGTCATCTTGGCATTTATTTCACAGAAACTGGTATGGCAAAGGTATCTGCTCTTCCTGAAAAACAAAGTCACCTGGCACCACAGAGAGAAAAATGAAGAGAAAAAAAAGGAAGAAAAGAATGAAAATCATTAAATATGTAAAGGATAAAAAATGCTGTTTGGGGTTGTTTGATTGGTTGGTTGGTTGGGGTTTTTTTTGTGTTTTTGGGTTTGTTTTTTTTGTGTGTGTGTAACTTTTGTTTTTGTTTTGCTGGTTCTGGGGCTTGAATTCCCGGCCTGGGTGAGGTCCCTAAGCCTCTTTCTGCTTAAAGCTAGCTAGCACTCTACCACTTGAGCCACAGCACCACTTCCAGGTTTTTTGTTTGTTTGTTTGTGTTGAGTAGTTTATGGGAGATAGGAGTCTCTCGAACTTTTCTTTGGACTGTGATCCTCAGATCTCAGCCTTCTGAGTAGCTAGGATTACATATACCTGTAAATTTTCTATCATTCTGTTTCTCAAATTGCAAGAGTCCCTGAAGGTCACTAATAATGATATTATTATCCAATGCCTTTCTTTCATAATCATGTTAAAATTTCAATAATACACTATACATGAAAAAAAATCTGCATTTCACACTGCCACCTAGCTGCTTTCCATAAAGGCAATTAAGTTACCAGTTTCTTGTCCACTTGTCCAGAGATACTCTTTCACTAACAAGAATTTCAATAATAGAGAATATACATTATAGAAGAGAGCTATTTTAACAGAAAAGGTAATATTTGCAATGTTCTAAATCTCTCCATGTATGTTGTGTATATATCTAAAGCTCAGGAAGAAGAACTTATAGAAGTTCCTGGAACCAGTAATCACAGAACTAATTTAAACCTATCAGACTTCAGAGGCATTAGAAGTGTGTTTATGTTTTGCTAACACAATATTACCAGCAGTATTTTAAATAGACTTTATTATGTATGTACATTATTATAATGTGAGATACATTTTTAGGAGTTTGACAAGGTTAGTGTTATGATTGGGATACAAAGTATCTTTCAAAAAGGCTCATGTCTCAAGGTACCAATGGCTCATACCTGTAATCCTAGCTACCCAGGAAACTGAGATCTGAGGATCACAGATCAATGTAAGATCAGTCAGGAAAGTCCTTGGGACTCCTATCTCCAATTAACCAGTAAAAAACCAGATATGGAGCTGTGACTCAAGTGGTAGAGTGCTAGCTTTGAACAAATAAAACCTCAGGGGCATCTTCTAGTTCATGAGTTCAAACCCCAAGACAAGCACAGAAATTTAAAAAAAATCTCCTGTTGAATGATTGGTTGTCAGATGATGGATCCAATTATTGAGAGGTGAGTGAATCATGAAGGTTCCCTAATCAATAGATGAAGCTCTTGATAGATTACTAGCTTGATGATAGAAATTGGAAAGTCAGGCCTAGTTGGAGGAAGTAGGTCACTGAGGGCATGTCCTGGAAAGACATACCTGTCTTCAGCCTGCTCTTGTCTCTTCTTTTTCCCAGTTACCCTGAGGTAACCATCTCTGCTCTATCACATGCCTTCTGCCATGATGTCCTGCCTCACCATGGTGCAGAAACAATGGTACCAAGTGACCATGCAAGCCAAAATACTCTTTCTTCCTTTTCAGTCATCTTCCTCAGGTATTGGTCACAATAATGATAAAAATAACACAGTTAGAATTAAAAGGTTTTGTTTTTTTTCCTTTTATCATTCTTTAAATTTTTATTTTATTGTAAAGATGTTGTGCAGAGAGGTTACAGTTACGTGAGTAAGGTAATGAGTACATTTCTTGTCCAGCATTGTGACCCCTCATTTGTTTTTCTCCTACTATCCCTTCTCTTCCCACATCCCCCACTCCTCCCAAAGACACTCTGTTGGACATGAATTTAAAAGCTCTGATCATGGTCCTGTAATTATGAAGTCAATCACGACCTTCAGGCTATGGCATTGACTGCCAGGATTCAGTTCTTGCCTCCATTTATTTCTAGGGCTTTCTGCAAATCAATGAAGTATAGCAAGCCTTGAGTCCTCTCACAAAATGAGATTATGATAGTATTCTTCTTATCAGATGGCTACATGAATTAAATGGGTTTACAGAAGTTAAACATGTGTGACTTTTATATAGAAAGTGCTCAGTAGTTAGAAATTACTCTTATGTGGTGGTACATTTCCCTTTGGTCTTCTAGATTCCTTTTCCTGCCTTCTTCACCTTATAGCCTTCCCGGAGCCTGATCTACATGCTCTCTACCATGGGGGTTTGTTTGGAAACCAAACAGGGAGAGGTGTGTCAAGAAGTCAGACTGTATCTTAGCCCATTTTGTATTGCCATCTCAGATTTTACCAAGAAAAAAAATTACCTCTTACAACTCTGAAGAAGCTGGTTGCAGTGTCTTTCTTGCGTGGGGCAAGGGCCTTCTTGCTGCATCACCTCGTGATGGAAGGCAGAAAGGTAAGAAAGAGCTCAGAAAAGCAAGGCAGAGATGGAGCTTGCAGTGGCAGGCCCTTTGATCACCATTAATCCAGCCACAGCCCTCAGCCCAATCCCATCTCAAAGGTCCCATCTCTTAACACACTGCTGGGTGGGGATTGAGTGTCCAATACAAGCCATTGGGAGGGACACATTCAGATCTAAGTATTATTATGTGTTTCCTTGGCTCCCTCCACCAAAGGTCACTGTTCATTTAAGGACACAAATTCTATGTCAGCTTTTTCTCTTCCTCTGAATTACAGTAATTGCCCCTTCACAGAAGGTATCTCTTCACACATGGTATCTGGTTCCTCTGTTCTATTTCTATGTGGGGAGGGAAGGGGGGAATTGACTAAGGGTGTGGCTCACGGGGCACTGCACTAGTCTACCAAGCAGGAGACTCTGTGTTCCAACTCCAATACTTGACTACAGGTATGCCTCAAGTGGTAGAGATGCAGCCATAACTGACAAAGTTAAGCAAAAGGGCAAGGCCTTGAGTTCAAGTTCCAGTACTGGCACACACACAAAACATGGCCCCCACCCCACCCCCACTAAACCCTCCTAGAAAACAAGAATTTTTCTATTTTGTATTAATTCTGGCTGTTGAGATTTATTATCTACTCTTTTTTTCCTAAACAAAACAAAGTAAGTTAGGTAACAGTGAGCCTCAGTTTACAGATGAGGAAACAGAAGCTTTAGAACTTGCCACAGAAATTAAATTCCCCAAAAGCAAATCTTCAAAGAAACAACTGCCCAATAAATAAGTGGGCTAAAGACTTAAAGAGAAACTTCTCTGAAGAGGAAAGAAGGATGGCCAATAGACACATGAAGAAATGCTCAACCTCTCTAGCCATAAAAGAAATGCAAATCAAAACAACATTGAGATACCACCTCACCCCAGTTAGAATGGCTAGAATCAAGAACTCTAATACTAACAGATGCTGGAGGGGATGTGGACAGAAGGGAACCTTACTGCATTGTTGGTGGGAGTGTAAACTTGTTCAACCACTTTGGAAAGCAGTATGGAGGTTCCTCAAAAGACTCCACATAGAGCTCCCCTATGACCCAGCAATCCCACGTTTGGGCATTTACCCAAATGTTTACAAACAAGACCACACTAAAGCTACCAGCACAACTACGTTTATTGCAGCATTATTTACTATCGCTAAGATATGGAAACAACCCAGATGTCCCTCACTAGATGAATGGATCAAGAAAATATGGTATATATACACAATGGAATTTTATGCCTCCATCAGAAAGAATGACACTGCCCCATTTGTTAGGAAATGGAAAGGCTTGGAAAAAATTATATTAAGTGAAGTAAGCCAGGCCCAAAGAAACATAGGTCCCATGATTTCCCTTATTTGCAATATCTAGTATATGTCTGAGTCAAGCAGAAAAGGTCGGATAAGTTGAAGTTAGGGGAATGAACCCCAAGATAAGCATTCAAATGTTTTTTTGTTCTTTCATGCAATTGTTTCTAACACATTTATAAGATGATTTCTTTGTTGCTTTGTTTGTCCCTCCCCCATGGTATAACCCCTGCTTTCACTGTATTTGATGTCGGTATAATTTGTGGAGGGGAAGGGAAAAACAAATCGTTT